GAGGAATCCAGAGAGGACCACACCAAGACACATCATAATTAAAATGCCAAGGGCAAAAGACAAAGAGAGAATATTAAAAGCAGCAAGAGAAAAAACAGTTACCTATAAGGGAGTACCCATATGATTATCAGCTGATTTCTCAACAAAAACTATGCAGGCCAGAAGGGAGTGGCAAGAAATATTCAAAGTGATGAATAGCAAGATGTTACAACCAAAATTCCTCTACCCAGAAAAGCGATAATTTAGAATTGATGGTCAGATAAAGAGCTTCACAGATAAGAAAAAGCTAAAGGAGTTTATCAACACCAAACCAGTATTATATGAAATGCTGAAGGGTATTTTTTAAGAAGAGGAAGAAGAAGAAAAAGGTAAAGATAAAAAATTATGAACAAAGTGACAAAAAATACATATGTATCAACAAGTGAATCTAAAAATCAAGTGAATAAATAATCTGATGAACAGAATAAACTGGTGAATATAATCAGGGGTATAGAAAGGGAGTGGACTGACAATTCTCGGGGGGAAGAGGGTGTGGGGGGTGTAGGAAGAGATTGGACAAAAATCTTACACCTATGGACTAAGACAGTGGGGGAGGGGAGTAACAGCATAGGGTGGGTTGGGAACTGGGTGGAGGGGATCTATGGGGAGGAAAAAAGAGGAACAAATGTAATAGTTTGAACAATAAATATTTATTTTAAAAAAGGGAAATAGGAACAGAACTTATGAGTCAACTTGTAAATGATCTGCTCTCCTTGATAAAATCTGAAAAGTAACATCATCATAATTATTCTCATAACTGATGCCACTAATATAATTATTAAAACCTAATCTCAAGCCTAAGTATTTAATTACCCTTTACAAATTAAGTGTATAAGTATATATGTATATTTGTGTTCAAAAAGAATACCTTAAAAAATTTCTGGAAATTCAATTAACTTATATCCTTTGGGTATGTCAATTGAAATTGAATTGGCCTATGGATCCCTCTGTTGAAAAACCTATATGTTTATTTTCATATGGACATCAGTTAACTCGCCGTTTGGATCAAGAGCAAGGGTAAGATAATGGTGGTGATGAAAATATAAAAAAAAATCTTTTTTGAAGACTTGAGCCCAAGGGAAGTGGTGATAAGAAAATATTTGGTGTAGGGATTAAGAGTATTAAACTCATGATCTAAACATTGTAAATGCAAAGTTTCTCGTAAGGAAAAACTTTTATTCCTACTAAGGCACAGCCCAATAATGGAGTTAGGATGCATCTGTGTTTCTCCTCTTCAACTTGATCCAGATGCCATTAAGAGGACGAAGAATCAGCTCTCCTGCCAGAAAAAGTTCTTCTCTTTTCTGGTTGGCTTCTACCCAAAAATGCCTCAGGATCCATGAAAGAACAAACATA